ACTCTTATTGGCGCTCTTATCACCCGACACGAATTCACCGTTGAACACAGTATTCACCTTCACGTTAAAGTATCTTTCCATAACTTTTTGCACGTGTTCGAGCACAAAGTCTTTCGCATCCTCGAGAAATTGCCGCCGCATGCGGCATACGCATGTGTCGACGCGTCAGCAAATCCGTGGATTTCGGCGTGATTTGTGTCCGATCCGAGACCGATCCAGCCCGTGATTCGCGAATTACTGAGATGCGAGAGCCAAGAGTAAATTTCTCTCCATTTTGCTATGTCTGGTTCGGCAATAACATCATACCAATCGATTTTTATTCGCCAGAGTTGTTGCATAAAGATTTTCGCGGTAATCGTGACCGGAGTGACCCATCCGAGCGGATCGTAGAATTTGGCGATCGCGGACAAGATCGTACGCTTGGTATTCGGGGCATTAGCCGTCAATGACACACGAAACTCGAAAATATCTTTTGCCGGATTCCATCCGAGTCCGAGGATTTTAATTTGTTTGTCTTCAGCAAGAGGTTTTTTCGTAGCTAAACCGTGGTCTGCTATGTCGATATCCTCGAGAAGAGAGGGTGAATTGCTCGCCCATTTCCGTAATACGAATTCGCCGCGCTTTAACATTGAATTTAATTGATCGCGCTTTTGCCGAATTCGAGTCGTAGCGTCAGCTCCGAATAGTAAGTCGTCGACATAAATATTATCGCTCAGGATAGACACCGCGAGCGGAAAATGCTGACTTTCGTCTCGTACTAATTGTTTTAATACCCGAAGGGCAAGAAATGGCGCACAGGCCATTCCATACGTCACCGTTAAAAGTTGATAATCTATAAGCGGTTCCGATTGCGATCGTTTCCACAAAATCAGCTGATAATTAGTATCGCGAGGATCGACCAGAATTTGGCGATAAATTTTCGCAATGTCGGATGAATATTACCGGCCGTCGGAGTCGCGATAGTGCGTCGAGCAGAAATGCTCTTCACACTGTTGTTCTTGCGACGTAAGAATTGATTGTCGTGGGAGTTCTTCAATTTCCCAAAAGCGACGAAGTTCCTCTTCGAGAGAGGGAGAACTTATAGTGTGATGAGCGGAAATGCTACTGCGAGTGTAATGAACGGAAGTCATTGTCAACTGAAATGACTCTTGACTCTCGAACGATGTGAGCGGTCCCGAGATTATCCATCCGAACATGGAATTCTGAGCAAAGGGTTGTCCGACGCTTCCTTTGCGAACACCGTCGCGAATGATGTCGCTATAAAGATCTGCTCTGATTATGAGATTGATAGGATCGGAATTCGTCGGATCCGCGTCTGCTCGCGGTAACTCAAAGAAATAAGAAATTGACGAGATATCCACGTGTCTTTTCGGAGTATACGATGTTAGCGACTTTAGAATTAGCGCGGTGGTAGAAAGCGACGGAGCGAGAGATTCTCGATGAGAAATAAATATGTGTGTCGCGTGTTGAAATGTCCCCGCGTTAATCCCGCCGACGGCGGAAACGGAGATCGGCATACGAATGCGTTTGACACGCAAAAGTTGCGCTAAACTTTCAGAGATGAAAGTCATTTCAGAGCCCTGATCAAGGAGAGCTCGGACAACCGCGATACGACCCGACGGACTGCGAACCGTTACCCAGGCTGTCGCTAGGAGGACGGGTGATCGTCGTTGCGTTACAGTTGAGGCGCTCAACGAATTTACCTCCGGCGTCGCATCCGACGCTTGAGGCGACAAGCAATTAGACGGTGCATTTTTCAAAGCACTTGAGCTAGAGTCCGAGTCAACGTGTAGCATCGAATGATGCTTCTTGTGACAAACCCGACAAGAATATTTACTTTTGCATTCATGTGCGGAATGCCTTGCGCTCAAACAATTGAAACAACGTTTTTGTTGCTTGACTATATCGCGACGTTGACTCGCAATCTTGCTCACGAACGCAGGACATACATTAATGAAGTGTCGAGCTGGACACAGCGAGCACTGCGATTGTGCGTTAACCAGAATTTGGCGATACATTTTCGCGATGTCGGATGAATACACGTATTTATAGCGTCGCCACTGTAATATTACCGACATGAGATCGGTTTGTAATTTAGGACCAGCGTGTAAGTGATCGTTTAGAGATGTGCCGTTCGACGTAACGCTTGAAGCGTTGAAAACTACGCGAAGACGCGTGGTTGAACTGCTTTCCCAGATCACCCCGTGATGCGGGAGATAGAACGTTTGTTCGATATCATCTTGAGGCATCGGTGTTGGCAGCATATGCCCAAGACGTTGATATTCGGAGATAAAATCGGAATATTCTTTCGCTAACTCGGGTTTATCGCGAAATCTCCGTACTAGCGAATTTACCATTTTTTCGGCGCGAAATCTTGAATTAACGATATCGATCGGAGGACTCGTTTTGAACGGCAGGCGAACGATGTACCGACCGTCGGAGTCGCGATAGTGCGTCGAGCAGAAATGCTCTTCACACTGTTGTTCTTGCGACGTAAGAATTGATTGTCGTGGGAGTTCTTCAATTTCCCAAAAGCGACGAAGTTCCTCTTCGAGAGAGGGAGAACTTATAGTGTGATGAGCGGAAATGCTACTGCGAGTGTAATGAACGGAAGTCATTGTCAACTGAAATGACTCTTGACTCTCGAACGATGTGAGCGGTCCCGAGATTATCCATCCGAACATGGAATTCTGAGCAAAGGGTTGTCCGACGCTTCCTTTGCGAACACCGTCGCGAATGATGTCGCTATAAAGATCAGCTCCGATTATGAGATTGATAGGATTGGAACTCGTCGGATCCGCGTCTGCTCGCGGTAACTCAAAGAAATAAGAAATTGACGAGATATCCACGTGTCTTTTCGGAGTATACGATGTTAGCGACTTTAGAATTAGCGCGGTGGTAGAAAGCGACGGAGCGAGAGATTCTCGATGAGAAATAAATATGTGTGTCGCGTGTTGAAATGTCCCCGCGTTAATCCCGCCGACGGCGGAAACGGAGATCGGCATACGAATGCGTTTGACACGCAAAAGTTGCGCTAAACTTTCAGAGATGAAAGTCATTTCAGAGCCCTGATCAAGGAGAGCTCGGACAACCGCGATACGACCCGACGGACTGCGAACCGTTACCCAGGCTGTCGCTAGGAGGACGGGTGATCGTCGTTGCGTTACAGTTGAGGCGCTCAACGAATTTACCTCCGGCGTCGCATCCGACGCTTGAGGCGACAAGCAATTAGACGGTGCATTTTTCAAAGCACTTGAGCTAGAGTCCGAGTCAACGTGTAGCATCGAATGATGCTTCTTGTGACAAACCCGACAAGAATATTTACTTTTGCATTCATGTGCGGAATGCCTTGCGCTCAAACAATTGAAACAACGTTTTTGTTGCTTGACTATATCGCGACGTTGACTCGCAATCTTGCTCACGAACGCAGGACATACATTTATAAGGTGTCAAACTGGACACAACGGGCACTGCGATTGTGCATTTGCAGAGGCAATGGCGGCATGAACTCGCGCGGCTGCGACGGGTTTTACCCCGGGTTTAGAGGCTGACGCTGGAGCGGATGCCTCTAACGCGCGAGTGCGAGACTGAATGAATCGGCTTAAATTCTCGTAAAACGGCGGAGCATCTGTATCGCTTATCTTTACGTTCCAAGCTTTGCGCGTTACCCGATCTAATTTTTGTACAATGATATGCACTAGAATATCATCCCAGAGTTCGTCCGGCTTTCGACCGAGGGTTTTCAATGATGCGACCGCTATATTCACTTTATCGTTTAAAGTCTGCATCTCGGTAGCAGATTCGCGCGTGATAGTCGATAAATTGAGCAATGTCGAAAGATGTTTGTTTATCGACCGCTTTTTGTCTTCGTACCGCGAGGTCAGGGCTTTCCACGCTATTTCAAAATTAGCGGCCGTTATAGAAATATTCGCGATACACTCTAGAGCGCTACCTTTCAGACACGATGATAAAAAATGCATTCGCGCAAAGTCAGTTAACTCGGTATTGTTGCGAATTAGCGTAGTAAATCGATCGCGGAATTGTTCCCATTCGTCATAATTACCGTCGAACGAGGGTAATTTTATAGGCGGAAGATGCGATTGCTCCTACCGATTTTTTTGAAGTTCTCGAGAGCGCGTTCAATCGTTCGCTGCAGATGCTCCTGATGTGCGACATGCTCCGATATTGTGGTTGGATGAACTATCACTCACTTGCAAACTTATTCTCCACACACCCTTCTATCCGGCTCGAAGGACCAATATGTTCGGGAGTCGACCTCGACGAGATCGCCCGAATCTTAAGAGACGCTCAAAGATGAGCGAGAAGCGATGTGTAACACGAATCCGTAGATTCGCTGGAGGATAAGGAGATTGAGAAAAGAGTCGAGTGCAGATTGTTTTAACTATTCGTT